TCATAGGATGCTCAGACGGATAACTAGCAAGATATGTTCATCTCAGGCCCCAAGACACAGTTTCCTAAGATCCAGCGACTGTAGGCACTGGAGTCTGTAATCATTTACATACCAGAGCCTCCACAGACGCAGCCACCGTCCTCAACCCCAAAATGAACCATGAAAGCAGTTTTCCTGTGGAGGCACAGACAGTCAGTCCTGCCTCTCCTTAAATGGTTCTTAGGGCTGGGTAGAGCCAGCATGGGCCCCTCTAGCTGTCTGATGGGCACACAGTTGTGTTCACCCATGCACACTCATTCTGATGTCCCTGGGCAGATGTCCTGACTCACTGAGCAAGCCCCTTCCTCTTGAAAATACAGGCCAACAGGCAATCCCAAATCCCGCTCGTGACTGGCAAGACAGGAGTTAGAAATGGGGGAGAGGCACACATCCATCTTCCCTGTCCCCCTGAACTAGCTAGTTCTCTAAGACTGACCAGCGGACCTAACATCCCAACAAAAGACACCCCCCACATAAAGCTGGGGATATGAATCACTTGACAGAAGCCTTGTCTTACATGCATGAGATCCTGGATTTAATTGCCAGCACCACTTAAAAAAAAAAAAAAAAAGCTGGGTAGGGGGCTGCCTCCCACCCAGCTGTTCTCAAGAAAGAGGCTAGAGGTGTCTGCTCACAGAAGGAGAAAGTCATTGTGTAGCAGTGGCTGTGCCTGCAGAGTCTTAGGACACTAGAACCTTCCAGACATCTTTCTGGCCAGCATCAGGGCCAGCCTTGTGATCTGGACCCTCCCTGCTGTGTTCTCTTCCTGCCAGCAGCAGGCCAGGTGTCCTGGACTTTGGTCGCCAAGAACAAGCTTCAAAAGGCTAAGTAGAAGGTGACCATCTTCAAAGCGTCCTCAGACTTCCCAGAAATCTCTGGCACCCGGCCCTGACCTCAGGTCAGTTGCCGGCAAATGAACTTGTGACAGCTCCATGAGGGCAGGGACTCTGACTGTGTCTGTCTGGTTCCCTGCCGTCATCCTGGCAACCCCAAGCATGAGACTGGCATACAGCTGGTGCTCAACACTGATCTGCTGGATCCCTGGGCAATGGCTTCTACCAAGGATGGAAAGAAAGGCTAGCAGGAGCAGGCCAGGCTTTGGAGCTAGGCAGACCTAGATCTGAAACTTTCCAGACACCACATCCACAGCTTCTTGGCCCCTCCCTGCCCAGCCCCCTCATCACAGCACCTCAGGGAGCTCTTAGGGAAGTTAGCTGGAAATAACATATAAAGCCTTAGGACAACACAAGGCAGAAGCCTCTGCCATGTTTTCGGTTCACAAACACTTATTTAGCACTCGTATGTAAGATGTTTTTCAATCCCAATGTGCAATACCAGATCACAATCACTTCAGTTACTTTTTGTAACAATCCTCTGAAGTTGGATCTTCAGCCTTTGAGACAGGGAGAAGGAAGAAGGCAACTTGCCCGAAGCCGGAGACCTAAAAGTGCAGGGCCAGGATTCATATTAATTACACAGTCTAAACTGCTAAGTACTGCACCTGTCTGCCTCTAGGGCTGACAAGCACTGCAAACTGGTTTCTGTCCCAACCCTTGTAGGATTCCAAGGACATCTGACCACACTGCCAGACTGGTGTCTTCAGTTACAGGGGAAACAGACACAGGTACTCCCCTGGATGGGTGCTCTGTTTTGTCAGTTTCCACTGTAGGGTGTACTCCCCTGAAATCTAATTTTAGACAAGCACATTCACTAAAAACTTCCCTCCCATCCCAGCCTCCCCACTACAAGAAGAAACACACAGCTATGCAAAAATAAGATAAGAAATGAGGGGCAGAGCTAAAGAGAGAGGTCTGTGTGCCTTTAGAGCAAATGCAGAGGCAGAACCTGAGAATAAGCGCTGTACATCAGGGAGCAGAGAAGACGGCCAGGCACACAGAGGCCGGATACACAGCCTCAGATGCCCAGAAATCCAAGGTAACAGAAAATTAAGCCATTTTCTCCAAGGGACGAAAGCTTATCATAAAGAACTTTCCATTTACTCTCCTGTCAACCATGATGGAAATCTCGTTACCAAAACAAAGCAACTGACCCTGCTTTTTCCAATGTTTCAGGACTCGTGACATCACAAAGAACTCCACAAATGCTCAGAGGAACAGCAGCATTCTCAAGGAAAACACACAATGACTGACTGCAGAGAACCCCAGTGCATTCGTTTTTAAAGCTCTTAGGGACCGCTGATTCCTGGTCCACCTAGGTTCTGATTCTTGTATGCGACGGCAAAAGCTTGATTACAGAGGTGGTTCTGGCCTTACACTATATCTCACGTGACTCTGTCCCCAAGAGGCTGAGGTATCACTGTGGAAAGTCAACTTTCTCTACTTGCAAAGTCCCTGGCAGGGCAGAGGCAGCTCCCATGAAGTGGGGGTCCAATCTCCACCTCCCCTAGTCCAGGAACTACTACACTTTGTGCCAAGATAGCAAGGGCATTCTATTACATGGCACAATGATGGAGAGCTGAGGGGAGTGTTTCCTCCGTGGAAAGACCAGGATATTGCAAGCTCAGCGCAGAAAATCCATCTCTTCCTCCCCAGTCAGGAAACAAAATCCTACAGGTTCTGTACTCTCTGCCCTGTGAAAACCCACAACCAGTCCTAGACTCTTCCTCCCTAGTGAGTTGTGATTCCTGAAGCTGTTCCCTCAAAAGGGTTGCCTCATTTTAAATCTGGCTGGCTACCAACACAGACAATAATCGGATAGTGTTGACTTAAGGAAAAAGAAACCCATCTCAAAAACAGAACTGGGAAGTACCCTGGTGATACAGACATGTCCCACAGCCAACACCAAGCTTACCAATATCTAATAACCCGCTAAGTTCCAAGCCCTAAAACCACAATGTCCAACATGGCAAATCCCCAAGGACCTGTGGTCATCATTTATTTGACTATGTTTCCCAGGAGCTCAAAACTAGACAACATCAAGGGCAGAAGTGATCAGGTTAATTGTGGACAGAACAACTCAAATCTGAAGTTTCCCGTGGTTCAGTTCACAGCCAGAGACCTTAAAAGATATATTCACATAAAAAGTTCACAATGAGTTATAGCAAAATGGTCAACTATCCACAAAGGAAAATCTCAATGGAGAAAAACAAACAAACAAACAAACAAACTGTCGTTTTCTGGGCATGGTCTCACTAGATAGCCCAGGCTGGCCCTAAACCCCCACTTATCCTCCTGCCTTAGCCTCCTGAGTGTTGGGATCACAGGTGTACACTACCAAACCCAGCTTACACTATTAACCTAGATTAAAACAATTTCTGAGTCAATGAGTGGGAGCTGCACACGCAATGTCCCAAAGCTACGCTTCCCCACACGTGACAAAGTCATCTCAAACGAACGAATGAAAGCCACGGGAGGGGAAGCAGGGGACGACAGGACTCAGGACACCTAAGGCCCCGAAACCATCCACCCATGGCAGCTGAGCAGTTTTGGCCCAACTTTGCTACCCTAGATACAAAGAGGATTCTTTGGCTACAGCAGAACTCACAAGAGCCTAAAACAAATGCCACAAGTTTGGGTTCTCACTCCCGGGTGCATGACAGGCTGAGAGGCTCCGTGCCACAGAGAGCAAAAGTGTCTTTGTTTCCATTACATCATCCATGGTGAAGGGGGAGGGCAGGCGGGCCACAGCTGGTGGCAGCTGTGCCACCATCTGCTTTCTCCTCCTCAGCAGCCTTTGCTGGTCTGAGCACAGCCTCCTTGGGCTGCTGACAGAGAAGTGCAGGGTTAAAGGTACAACATCCTATTACAGAAAGAGTTGGAATTACTGAGAAATAAATCACTCCTCTGTTGAGTTAACGGCCTCGGGCAGTTGATGAGCTGGTGTTCTTGGAATTTACGCTGTTTGCATCTCTTTAGACTTGGTGACAACACAAACTCTGTCAACTCAATTAGACAAACACTATGTACAAGCAACCACCTGCCATCTGCTTCCCTAAAAGGTAGGTGGCCAAAAAGCACAGGTCTGAAGCTGGAAGCATTCTGGAAAAGAAGAGAGACATCCCAACACTGTGGAGGCAAGCATCACACTAGCTGTGGCTGCTGGCAATCCCGAACCATTCGGAAAGCTGGGCTTGCCTTCCTCGTGCAGCTGCCTTTGGAGCCTACCTACAGGAAGGACCTCACCCAGAGAAGGCGAAGCTGGTACTTAGGGGGGCTTGGGGGAGACGACAACAGCATCTCAGCTGGCCGTTCAACTGCAAGTGGGAAGCAGAGTCCAACAGGCTGCTCAAGCCCACGCGTGTGTTTTATCTGCCCAGTTCAGGGTTGTTTTATCTGCCCAGTTCAGGGGGGGGATTTGAATATTTTTTGTAGAGGGGCATAGTGTTGAAACAGGGTCTCCTGTAGTCCAGGCTGGCCAAAAGTTTCTGTGTAGTCAAGAATGAACTAGGACTTCTGGGCCTCCTGCCTCTACTTCCAGAGTGCTAGGATTACAGGGCGTGCACAACCATGCCTACTTTCCCAAGTGCTGTGGATTAAACCTTGCGTTTTGTGATGCTAAGCAAGCACTCTACCAACTGAGCCACATCCCCAGCCAATAAAAATAAATGTCATATACAAATCTAAATCACAGGCTCTTCCTGCAAGGGTGGGAAGGATTCAGGAGACTCGGTCCCATTCCTGACACCAGCTATGTGGAGCTAAATGGTAGGACTCCCTTGAGATGGAGGGCGTGTTCTGAAGAACTTGTTCCCTCCTGCATGAATGCCACTGTGGCACCTGGACCTTCAGAGCATCTGCCAGAAGGCCTGTCAAGCAGGAAGAAAGAGAAAACCCCAAGAGATGTTATCCCAGTATCCCTTATTGACACTCCTCTGTAGTGGAGCCCTGGTCCCTGGGATATCCAATTGTCATTCCACAAAGAGCATCCGAGCTGGCTTCAGAGAACATCCCTCCCACCACAGCAGGTTGCAGTCCCTGAAAGGAATGTTCCAGGCCACTTACCATACATTTTGCCTTCGTCTGATAAGATGATTTTCCTCCTCCCACACGGCGGATAGATAGCCAGGGCCTCCTGAAAGCTCTGCTCTATGTCAGGACTCCAGACCCCCTCCGCATCATTGTCCATCGGCTTATCTGCCGAGTCGCTCATCCTTTCCATGTTTTCGGCAGGGCTCTCGCTGCCGCTCCAGCTGCTGGGCTCAATTTTGGCGGTTGGATTTTCCAAGCCGAAGCCTGGAGCCTTTTCAAGAAAACAAACCTAAAAGAGAAATCATAAAATAGTATAAGGACGGGATCATCATCCACACACTGTTCCTATGAGCTGCACTGTAGGGTCTTGGCCATTAGTGTTTTGTGGACAATAACTCCAGTGAAGAATGTGGAATTCTGAGATCCCAGATGATTGTGTTCACTGTGTGTCGTGTTAAGCACCCTACAAAAACATTAGCGGCCAGCTGAAGCCAGGTAATCTTCCTCGATGAGAGGAAAGTCTCACCAATGAAGGCAATCACTCAGAGCTACATCTGCAAGGCTCTCACGTGAGAATCTTTTACTAAGTACCCATACCCTACAAGCAGTGCCATACTCAAGGGTAGTCAAATCCCCATAGCAGAACAAGTTTTTTTAAAAAAATAAAGTAAAATAAAAGATATCAGCTTCACTCTAGCAATTGACATCCTAAGTGAAATGTCACACCATCTCAATACAAGATCATGCAAGAGTGGGGGACAGGAGAAATGAGATTACTTTAGTGCCGCAGGTACTCATCCTACCAGTCAGTAGTACCAGTTGACCGAGACCTAGCACATTGATTTTTGGGGCTCCTACCTGTGGACCCCTGTGGAGTCAGGTCACCCGGTCCTAAACTCTAACCCTGAATGAAGCAGAGACCAGTCCAGTCCGCTTCCACACCTGCCACCCTTGTGGGGATGTCCCCATCCCTATGGGGCAGCAGCCGGTCCTGCAGCATACTCTCCCAGTCATCTGGAAACTGTGGGGCAATCTTTCCTTCATTCTTCTGGGCAGTGGAGATAACAGAACCACAAGAAATCTTCCTCCAAAATGTAAACGCATTCCCTTTCAATTATACATGCCTCCTATAGTCACAAGGGGATAAGCTTTCTAAACAAATGTCACGCTGGCTTGACACCAAGGTGAAAATGATCTAATCCAGTACTCCCTGCTGGCTGCACACTAACATATCAATATTGCTTTGTGAAAACCACATCAGATCATTAATGCAAAGGGCTCCCCAAAAGAAGGAGGATGGGAAAGGAATCATGGTGTGCCTGAGCAGGGAGGGCCTCATGTGATCACTGCTGCTCCCCTTATATCCCTGCAATATTTCAACACAAGAGGCAAGAGGAAAGCATGCCCATGTTCCAAGGTGCTGTCAGCTGAGCACAAACAACTGAGTTTCTTCCCTTGCCTCTCCCAACCGTATCCTCTCACCAATGCGTGGGTCAACAGAACCTCAGAATAGAGCACAATCCACGGTCTAACTGATAGGTGGTTTTGGACTCCTCACATTGGCTTTCTTCAATTTGGCAGCTTTTTTTTTTTTTGTTTGGTTGGTTGGTTGGCTTTTTTGTTTGTTTGTTTTTCAAGACAGGGTTTCTCTGTGTAGTTTCAGTACCTGTCCTAGATCTCGCTATCTCTGCCTCCTGAGTGCTAGGATCAAAGGCGTTCACCACCACCGCCTGGCTAGCATTTGTATTTTTAAAAAAGGTAGTATGCTTGGTTTTAACTGTTATCTCTAAGCCATCATTCAGAGAACATGTCAGCAAAATATTGACAGCCCCGTACCAACACACATACGCTTACACAGGACGTCAAAACTTGCCAATGTCAAGGTATAAATTATGAAACAAGAAAGGGTTTTGTGACTGGCCCCACGATGAACTTTGGGTGCCTGCCTGCCTCATGGGCCTTTTGAATTTTCAAGTGATTACATTTTGGGTTGGGATCTGAGAGTACTATAAAATCTGAGCTAAGCTGTAACCACCCTAGTGATTGCTTACTGGAGAAATTACGAGAATAGGAGGGAACTCTTTGATAGTGGCTAGCCTCTTTCCCAACAAAAAAAAACAATGCACACACATATAAAACCATAGGCCAAGCCAGGACAGATCCCAGCAGAATGAATTCACTCAAGGAAGTTGCACTTAAAGATATATATTAGATGTGTGGGTGCTCAACCACTATAGCCAAGGGATGGAATTCAGCAGAGTGAGAGCTGAGGGGCCTGGGCCTTTGGAGGCCTAGGAAGAAGGTTCTTATGCAACTAAAAGTATAGTCCCCAGAAGAAAACATACCAACAACCCCCACCCAAAGTCTTAAGAGCATCTATCTCATCAGCTGGTCACACAGGCTATGCTGGAACTTACCAGTGGGAGGGCACTCACTGGCTCCTCAGCACCTCCCACCTTCACACTGGGATGCTGACACTGCACAGCCAATTAGGTCAACACCCATTTCCTCACTTAACTTGACCCTATCATCCCTGAGGATCTATCCATCCTTCAGGTCAGCCTCTCCTCAAAGATCCATTTCCTACCGGCTGACCAACCCTTGGGATCCCTATGGGCCTTCATAACCACTCACCCCTCACCAGTGCATCTGAAATCACAAGGGAGGGGATAGCCCCACTTTGTGATGCTTGGAAGAAGACTCCACCATAAGGAAAGCCTATCCACTAGCCAAACGGTCCACCAAAGATAGCCTCACCTCAGAAGACTAGCGGCAAAGGCTTGCAGACAACATTCAAGTTGCTTCTCAGGCTAAAAGTCACACACATTAATTGATCCATCCACCCAGGAAGCACAAACATAGCTCTAAACACTCCCACATTTTGATTCATTTACAGGGAAAGAAAGAACTTTGTGATTAGGCTCTTGCAATTTATCCTTCTGGAGCTCAGCAGGATGAAGTTACCTCCTCTGGACCTAAAGCAGCGCACAGCCCAAAAACACACCAGGCACAAAATCTACAGAGCTACTCGGGTTCTTGGTTTTACAACCCAACTGTAAGATGAGCCCCTGTATGGGCAGAGAGTTTTGATCACAAGGCTGGTGGGGCTGGCTGAGAAAGCGCCCCATACTAGATACCAAAATAACCATCCTGGCATTCCACTCCTCAGCTCCAAAGCCACCTCATCCTGGAAATTGTCCTTGTCACTCTAGTGACTGTGAGAGTATCAGTCATACTTTACGAGCATCCTACATGTATACAGCTGGTTACTGCTCAATCTACCTTGATTTGAATGCACACCAAAAAGCACCTGCTTATTACCAGCATTAAGATCTAATCAAGTCAGGTACAGTGGCACACGCCTGTCATCTCAGACCTCTGGAGGTGGGGATGAGAGGACCCAGAAACCAAGGCCAACACAGTGAGTGAGACGACCACCATCACCACCACTACAGAATATAATGGATTATTCACAGGCCATCTGCAGAGCTGATGTCTTCCCTTCCCCACACATCTTTTGAATATGAAAGTCCAATTTCCCTCGATTCAGAATGAAGAAGTAAGACGTGTGTGTGTGTGTGTGTGTGTGTGTGTGTGTGTGTGTGTGTGTATGTGTGTTACATTCAAACTGGGATATGGATTCAAAACTTGACTCACTCACGAGAGTCACATGGCTCAAACTAAATTAGTTAATCTTTTTAAAGCTCAAGTTTTCACTTACACAATGGAGATATTAAATTCTATTCAAATGTAGAAAAGCAATGGGGGGGGGGAGCAGCTGAAATCTGACTGCAGTGAGATAAAAGGAAGAGTTTGTCATCTGAAAAATCATGTGCCCTCACTCACTGACTATCCGGTCAATCCTCTCTAGACAAAGCATGCCGTGATGCCAAAATACACCCCAAACACAGGACAGTAGAGGAATAAAGGTATGCCCCTGAGAGCTCACTTAAAAAGGAAATCAATTTACTAAGGATTTGCATCTTAAAAGTCTTCAGAAGACCAAACAGAAATTTCACATTGTTGACAACTAGCTCCCTAATATCTACCTTAGTTCAAACTTTCTCACAAACTTTCTCATATTCTTTTGGGCAAGGTGGTTCAAGTGTCTCCAAGGAAAGACTGCTGAAACCAACAAAAACATGTGTACGTGTTATGTAGTCAAAGGACCTCAGTTTCCATCACGAACACCACTCTGTAGGCCCCTTGCCTCCTAAAATTTCCTAGCCCCGCACTACTCAAAACACAGCTGTTAACAATAACCCGAAAAGCCTGCTAATTGGCTAGACAGCCGCCCTTCCGCCATGGACATTCCTTTCTCAGAACCCACCAACACTTCAAGAAGATTGCTAAGAGCAAGGGGGAGGTGTCATAAGTGCACTTGACCCACACAGCCGAGTCTAAGAGCCTGAGGACAGAAGGGAGGGGAGGGCAAATGCAGGCGCTTCTGACACCAACTCTACACATGTGATATGTGACAAGAAAAGGTGCTCTTCCTGTGGCAGATTCCCATGAGGCCCTCACCATGGAAACATCTTACCCCTTCATTAAAACTAGCCCTTGTGGTTAATGAAACACCACTGAGCATGAGGGTCAAGGAAATCCAAAAACCTTGTTCTAGCCAGTGTCTTAATTGTCTATGAAAACGGAGGAGAGGAGCCAGACTATGAGTTGGACTTAGATGTCTGCCTAAGTACCCAGGACCACATCTCATGTGCCTCAGTGTCCACTGTTAGCCATGAAGTAGGCCAATTCATCCATCCACCCACTATCTTGTATTCCTGCGTTACTGTGCCCTCTCTCTGCACCCCAATGCACTCCAGGAAAGGGACCATTATGTTCACCCTAACATTTTCACCCCAATGATGACACAGTACTGATACAGAAATAGCTAATAAAGGAGTGAGCATCACCCAGATGACCTGAGCATGTTTTGATAACATGACAGCTCATCCCCCGAACTCACACTAACTAAATTTCCACTGACTAGTAAGTACTAAAAGAAACCACTCCAGCACTGGGATGGAGCTCAGTGATGGAGTGCTTGAAGAGCATATTAGAGGTCCACAAGAAAATGGCAGTGGGGGGAATCACCATATTAGAAACATGTCAAAGGAAACACAAGCCAGACAGAGTGTGTATGGTCCCACATCTTATCTATCAGCCATTATTACCAACAACTAGTAGTTATGTGCAAGAGACAAATACGGTCTGAATCCTAAGAGGAAGGTTACTTTGATCATAAACCTTACTTAAGCTGGGCGGCAGTGGCACACACCTTTAATCCCA